GAGCAGGGAGCCCGATGCGGGACTCGATCCCGGGACTCCAGGATCATGACCTGAGCCGAAGGCAGTCGCTTAACCAACTGAGCCACCCAGGCGCCCCATACAGAAGTCTTATTAAGGGTGTTGATCAATGTGAAGGTTTATTTTGTTCCTTTCTAGAGCCTGGCACTTTGTTAGAAGAATAACTGAACCATGTAATTAGCGTCACAAACTGTTGCCATGAATATTGCTTTAGGTTGAAGTAATTTTTAAAAACAGACTTGGAAATGGTGTTTCCATGCATGCAGAATTTTGTGTTCATAAAACCCACACAGGAGAGGTGACAGTGGCAAACAGAAGCAGCAAGTTATTCTGGAAAATGCTGACTGGCAGAGGAAAGGATGTCTCCTTCGTGGGAGGGTGCTCAGGGAACCTTCTCAGGCACAGTAGCGCATGCGCACTAAGTCAAGTAGACGTAAACAACTCTCCTGGGAGGTGGGTGAATTTATTGCACGGAGCTGGGTCGTCCCAGAAGGATTTTAGCTTTGTGAACTCAGAAATGATATCCATCGGCAGGGAGGTCTCCGTAGGCTTGGCATAGTCCTTGATGATGCTAGAAAAACTGTTCACAAAACCAAAGCTTGTCTAGGGCCAGGAAGAAAGAAAACAAGAGTAGGTACCCTTCCGGGGGTAAGGAATCAAAAATTGATGACCTTCGAATATTGCTCTTACAGATGTTTTACATTTTGAACTTATCTCCTGGCAAAATTCAAAGACTTCTTTTTCTCCACTCTCCAATATATATTTTCTTATGTCTTGTAAATAAATTCTTGTTGGCATCTCTCTTCCTTTTTAGAAGGAAGATATTATTTATTTTGAATATATGTGAGAAAAGGACATTTATATGAAAATAAATATTTATGAAGATGATGGAGATCTTAAGAATGTGTTTAACTTTTATTTGTATTCAGCATTATTTATTGAGGAAATTCATATATTCCAAATTGCTTATTGAGTCCTCCCAGACACCAGGCATTGTTTTAGGTCTTCTGGATACAGAAGTGAACCAGAAGGGTTCCTGAGTAGATTCTAGATGTTCCAGAGCTTGTATTGTAGAAAAAATATGGAATGCGTCACAAATTTATGCATCATCTTTGTGCAGGAGTCATGCTAATCTTCTCTGTATGGTTCTAGTTTTAGTATGTGTGCTACTGAAGCAAACACTATGTTTACTTCTTAAATGGCCATAGCGAGACGGAAAATGCTACCGAAGGCCCACTAATATCTGCAAACTATCGGAAAGATGTCAATGGACATTTAGATTTCCTGCTTATTAACCCGAACTCCTGATTATAAGATTATATGGGAAGGGAATATAGAACACAAGCCACAAGAATGGAATAAGCATACATTTTATGATCCTCTGGTGAATTTGAAAACACGGCTACTGGAATCTTCCCACTATGACTCACCTGGCTCAACTCCTCTAGGTTTGCAAAAAGTCTCCATACATCCACATCCAGGAGATATTCATGAGTTTGTAGATATTTTAATGTATTCATGAAGATCTTTTCAAAAAATGCACATTACCTTCTATTTTCCAATTTTGAAACTTGCCCTTTGCAAGAACATTAAACATCAACCTCCTGAGTATAACTTTACAAGACAATGTAGAAATCAGTATTTTCAAGGTTTAAGAATTTTTCTAAATACAAAATGATGACATTTAGGCCCCATAGGACATATGGGAAATGGGCCGTTCTGTACAAAGTCGCTATTGCTTGCTATTGTGAGCCTTCACAATATTCCTGTTGGACATAATCTGTTCAGATGGGCTTTCTCGGCTTCCCGGGGCCAAAGAAATCTCAAAGGTTCTCTTCCTGCCAATGGCACTAACTTGAGACCAAAACAACATTCGTACTGAGTTCTCATTTATTCCTTCCTCTGCAAAAGACCCAAATATCTTGTACATTCAGGAAACTAAAAATAGACAACTAATGAGTTAATACCTGATAACTGGGAAGATGTTTAGATTTGGGTAAAGGCATTAAATACTGATGAAACATTAAGGGAGTCTTTATGTTTTTATTACTTGATCTGATGCTTTTATACAACAGGAAAACTGCAGCAAGTCAAGAAGGAACTATAATTGTCACAGATAACCTGTCCTCATTCTATAAACTAGAGATCAGTTTATTGAAACAGGCTTATTTTGTAGAAATACAATAAAGCATTCAAAGGGACCAATTATTTCAAGGAGTTTAGTGTGAAAAAGCTGGACTTTAGACCATCAATCTTCTCCAGTTTCCACTTCCATATGTTAATGCAATGAATGTTTCTAGAACTTGCATCAGAACCACCTAGAGACCTGTTAAATCAGAGATTAGTGCCAACTCCCCAAATTTCTGACTCATAGGTCTCTGATGGGGTCTGAGAATATTCTTTTTACTTTTCTTTTTTTTTTTAAGTAGGCTCCACGCCCAGTGTGGAGCCCAGTGCAGGGCTTGAACTCATGACCCAAGATAAAGACCTGAGCTGAGATCAAGAGTTGAATGCTTAACTCGCTGAGCCACTGAGATGCCCTGCAAATATGCATTTTTAATAAGTTCCCAAGTGATTCTGCTGCTGCTGGCCTAGGGATCCCACTAAGAGAACCTCTGACTTAGAGCTTCCCCAAGTCCCATGTACAGGCATCTCTGATTTTCTTGCACTTCACAGATATACCAGATTTTACAAATTGAAGGTTTGTGGCAACGCTGTGTCGAAGCAAGCCCATTGGTGCCATTTTCCAACAGCATTGACTCACTTCATGTCTCTGTGTCACATTTTCACAATTCTCATACTTTAAATTTTTTCATTATTATTTATTTGTTATGGTGATCTGTGATCAATGATCTTTGATGTTAACTATTGTAACTGTTATAGGGTTCCACAAACCACACCCATATAAGATGGTGAACTTAACTGTAAATGTTGTATTTGTGTTCTGATTGCTCTACTAACCAGCTGGTGCCCATCTCTCTCTCCCTCTCCTCAGGCCTCCCTATTTCTTGAGACAATATTGAAATTAGGCCAGTTAATAATCTTACAATGGCCTTTAAGTGTTCAAGTGAAAGGAAGAATCAACTGATGTGACAAACTTCATTGTTGTCTGATTTTAAGAAATTGTCACAGCCACATCAACCTTCAGCACCCACCACCCTGGTCAGTCAGCAGCCAGCCACACTGAGGCAAGGCCCACCGCCAGCAAAATGGTTCTGACATACTGAAAGCTCAGATGGTGGTTAGCATTTTTCAGCAATAAAGTATTTTGAAATTAAGATACGACCATTGTTTTTTAGACATACTGCTATTGCACACTTGATGGACTATACTATAGTGTAAAGATAACTTTTATAGGCACTGGGAAACCAAGAAATTCATTTGGCTTTCTTTATTGCGATACTCACTTTGTTGTGGTGGTCGGGAACCGAACCCGCAATCTCTCTGAGGTATGCCTGTGGTATTGGTTGTCTGGAAATCTGGCAATATCCAAGTATTTAAAAAACATAATTGTAAGAAATAGAAGTCATTGCTACAGATAAATTGGGAAAATTTAGAAGAAATAGTATTTTTGCTGTAAGATTTTTCGCTTTATAGAAAATTTGGCCACTTAAAAAGATACCGAGTCCTCTGCTATTTTTATTTTACCAGTTGATTTAAAAAATATAAGTAACTTTGGGAAACTTGTATTGATTGTGTACAGGGAGATACATTTACATACACTGGGACATTTGAAAATAAACTCAAATTGGCCTTTTTTTAAAAAACAGAAAATGCTAGTTTGAAAAGCTTGTACAGCTTACAGTGGGATTAAAAAATTCTGATGCCGTTTATCTGGGCAAGGAAGGTAGTATCGGCCAGGGGGTTAGTGCTCCATAGTGAACGTCTGTTGGATACCACCCAGCTTCAGTCCTTCCCTTCCCTAACATTTCTGCTTTTCACTCAGTATCTACCCTTCCCCATGCCTTGCATGTGCCATGTATCAAGGTGTCCTTACTCGTAGGGATGCGCTTTGATTGCCTTAAACCAGTTGGCACTTTCCGTCCTTATCAGAGTAGTTGGTCCAGGGGAGGGCATGTGACTGACACCAGTGCCATCAGCATGAAATCAAGACATTGGCTACGAATGCTGAGAAGAGGTCCTCCCTCTCTCTCTCTCTCCCTCAAGGATAGTAGCCATCCTGTGACTACAACAGAAGCCCACCATAGGATGAGGCTGATGCCATGGAAGCCATAGATAAAAGATGGGAAAAAAATTTTTGTCCTTGGTTTTGAGTCCTTTGATCAAACCAACCTTGAACTCTCTACCATCTGTGGACTCAACAGCCACATGGGCTGCTAAAATCCTACGTCCCTTAAACTCGTTTTCTGTATCCTAATACATATCATCTCTAATTCTCAATTTACTGAGTGTCTTTGTGGTTTAAATTTTGCTGATAAAGTACTTAACACTGTGACCGACACAATCAGTATTACTCACAGAAGATATTAACTGACGTGTGTATAGCACCTGATAGATTTCAAAGAAAATGAATCTGATTATTGCAGTGATGAGATGTTATGAGATAGCCAGAGATGGTATTGTCATTCCTCTTTTATAGCTTAGCGCAGGGATTGTTAAATGACAGCCTGTGGGATCAACCAGGCCTGCTACCCAAATAATGTTTTATTGTAATATACCAATGCACCACATTATTTCTCTCTCTCTCTTTTTTTTTTTTTTTTTACAAATTATCTATAGCTTCTTTGGCACTGCAGCAGAAGAGCTGAGTAGTTGCAATAAGGACCCCATGGCCTGCAAAGCCTAAAATATTTACTGTCTGGACTTTTATGGAAATGTCTGCCAAACTCTGGTTTAGGAAATGGAGGACTGGACTTTCCCAAGGTCAAAGTCAGAGGCAAATCCAGAGCTTGAACCCAAGTCTCCCAACACAGTGTTTTTCCTGTGTAAAAGTAGCCAGAGTTCAAAAGCCTTATGGGCAGAGGCAACCTTGCGGCCATGAGGCTCCTCCTCCCTACGGTCTTGGAGGCAGCTGCTCCTTCCCCATTCTTTGCCCTGTGGTTCTTTGGCAAGGAATTCTCTGCTTGGAACTGCACTCGATCAGGGCTGCAGCCCTGCATCACCTCAGGGGCGCCACTTCCCCGGCAGACATCACGAATATGCTGTGTAATCCACCCCCACTGCACAACGTGTGAATGGTTGCCCCAGACATCTGTGACTACAGCCTGACGGCTGCTAAGAAGCATTTGTGGGGCACCTGGGTGGCTCAGTCGGTTAAGCGTCTGCCTTTGGCTCAGGTCATGATCCCGGGGTCCTGGGATTGAACTCCCCATGGGGCTCCCAGCTCAGTGGGGAGCCTGCTTCTCCCTCTCCCTTTGCCTGTCCCTCTCCCTGCTCATACTCGTTCTGTCAAATAAACAAAATCTTTAAAAAAAAAGAGAGAAAGAAAAAAAGAAGTATTCGCTTGGCATTGTCCATGAGGGAATGAGAGCTCCAAAAGAGGGAGCTGACCAAAGATGGGACGGGTGCTTTGAGGGTGGTTGTGAACTCCTTGCCCCTAGTAGTGTGTGAACATGGGGTGAGGATAAGGTAGAAGAGGATTCATACATCAGATGGGGAGCTGGACTAGTTTACTTAGAAGATTCTACCCAAACCTGAGAGGCCATGTTTTAAAAAAAGAACAAAGAGACAACCAAGCAACAGAGAAACAAAAATAAATAAATGCAATTTTCTTAAGATCCCCTGAAAGAAGGGACCCTCCCCTCAACTTCCTTTTTTTTTTTTTTAACACAGTGGGAGAAAATGAGTCCTCAGAGTCAAATTAATATTTTCCATCTGCCAAAAAACTGAAAGCCAGCATTACCATCTTAAGAACTAATAAATGGGGGGTGCCTGGGTGTCTCAGTCGTTAAGCGTCTGCCTTTGGCTCAGGTCATGATCCCGGGGTCCTGGGATCGAGCTCCACATCGGGCTCCCTGCTCAGCAGGAAGCCTGCTTCTCCCTCTCCCACTCCCCCTGCTTGTGTTCCCTCTCTCGCTGTGTCTCTCTCTCTGTCAAATAAATAAATAAAATCTTAAAAAAAAAAAAAGAACTAATAAATGGTCCAAGAAATAAGTGCATTCACTTGTGAAGAGTTCCCACACGGCCTCTTGCTGCTTTCTCCAGTCTAATCGGTCGGTGGG